GGGGGGGGGTTCAAGAGAAAGTTTCTCCAAACGCTTCATGAAGGCTTTGGGTGTGGAACATTTCAATCACACTCAGACCGAGTTTTACAATCTTCAGAAATAATCAGGGCGATGCCGTAATCTGATAAAATGTGACATTTTCATAAACATATCTGGTTGTGCGTGCCTTGTAATATATAGAGAGATATAGCATTTTTGTGATGAAAGTGAAGGGTGACTCGTTCCTTTTCAGGAAACGCCAGGAAAATAGAATCGTGTTTCCTTGTAGTGATTTTAAAATTTTCAACTTTTCTTTACGGTCGGTTATTCCTGTCTACAGAAATGCCAAGGAACATCAAGAGGTGAGATGGTCTCGATGGACATGAATAGATATTTTAGACGTCTTTAAAATGTTTAGAAGAATTACGAAAGTTTTATGAGACATCGCTTTAAAGGCATCGTTGACGTTTTTTGAGACATTTCAGCGCCATCACTAAACGGATTGGAACATTATTAATAAATGCGTTGTGGGACATTACTAAAGTGTTTTGGGACTTTTCAGCAGCACCAAAGTGTTTTGTGACATCATTAAAGTGTTTTGTGACATCACTAAACTGTTTTGTGACATCAGCAAAGTGTTTTGTGACATCACTAAAGTGTTTTGTGACATCATTGAAGTGCAGCCAAGACCTAAGCCCTGAGACCATAATGTTTGTGCACACTTACTCTACGTCATTAGGGTAACGTGATATCTGCGTACCTTTGGTAGTGAAGAGTAAATTCACTGCATTTCAAAAAAGGGAACAGACAGAAAGACAGACAGACATACAGATAGACCGACCGACAGACAGACAGACAGACAGACAGACAGACAGACAGACAGATAGGCTGACAGACAGACAGACAGACAGACGGACAGACAAACGGACAGTGATGAAAAGAAAGCAAACGTTAATACATTCTAGAGACAGGTGTGTTGCTTGTTGTTGTTTTTTAGTTTTAGTAAGCATTTTACGGCACTTGTAACACAACTAGGTCATATAAGCGCCGAAGGGCAGCGGTTTAGCACATTGTGATTCGATCTCAGAAGAGATATAATGAGATCGAATTATGCTTTGTTATCTCGGTGGCAGTCAAAGCCAATACAGTGGTAATCGATTCTACGGACAGTTTAATAATGAAATATGATATTTCAGTTACCCTCGACGTCTTGACACTGTGCTTCAGTGTACAAAAGCTAGTTTTACACTCTCATCGACACATTTTTAAAAGTGAAAAGCACTATTATTGGTAAAATAAAAGCATGCAAACATGGTGGACATAAGAACTATTGACAAAATTTAGATGATTAAGAAAGCAGGCGTCGAACCTCCCTGCCAGGGCCAACCCGGACTGAGAGGGACGCCACGTCCCAGCAGAAAGTCCGAGGTATGCGGGAAGAATTCTCCCCATTAGGCGAAGCAAACCCGGGGCTTTTGCGTGCGACTGTCAAGCACCTAACTGCTATACCACACAAAGTTATCTGCGTTCATATAAGATTACGTAAGTTAATACGTAACACGGACATGGCTCTTAGGAATTTCGCCATTCTTTGAAGACGATCACTAGTAAAATAGTAAAAACAAAATTTTGATCACGAAACGACCTTGGCCTCATTTCTGAATGCCTCTGAACTGCATTCCTCTATTGTTCTATCAGGCATTCCTCTTTCATTATATCACTATACTTAGCTTGAAACTTTAGGCCTTGGAATAATTTTATTCTTAGAACACAGATGTTTCCCTCACTTTACAAACCTCTCGACCTCCTTTTTCAAGAGCTCAAGATAATGCCCCCCCACTCATGCACGGCTCTGTCCGTTCTCCAAACAAACATTTGTAACCTGATAGGCTGCGCTCTATAATAAATTCTGTCTGCGATGAGGAATGCAGACAAGAACAAAGTGCGTCTCAGAGATGTTTCTTCCGTGTCATGTCCTTTAACTTTGTTTTTCTTGACTCCGGGGCGGGCGAACTAAGATCGGGGGGCTTCATGGAGTTTTGAGAGGCCCATGGAAACATTCAGCCGTGAAAAATGAGAACAAAAATGTTTCCAAATTCTAGACACAATGCTAGTTTTCTAGTGAATTTTATAGGAAAAAAAAATTTCAAAAAAAA